CTGTTTCTGCTTGGAAGACCTGATAAATTCTGTAAAATCAACTTAACTGTGGAAAGAAAATGAAACATAATTAATGGCTGATATCCGTACTTTGCTTTACATACTGTGCTACACTGCTGCAGCTCATCCATAGCAGTGGCTAATATTAAAGCCAAGCACTGTAATGAAAGCACAATCTGAGGGTACTCCGAAGAACTCCTTCCTTGTTCCAAGGCAAAGACAGCAAAATGCTATGTATCGCATCTTTGTGTCTCCATATTAGAGGCAAAGGAAATTCAAAAGTTAACTTGGCTTCTGCAAAAGCTGCAAACACGCTGAGGTTATCTCATCAACTGTGCCGCACTGAACTGTTGAATGAGACAGCCTGGTTGTAAAGCGAGGGAAACCCTCAATTCTTTGAGTCCTTGACAGGCGCCCAAGTCCATCCCAAGTAGGTATTCATTCTTCTGAAGTCCACCTGCTTTCAAAGTTCACAACAAGGGAATGCTACTCACCATCCCAGCATTGCACTCAAGGGCACACAATGAAGAGGATGACACGAAAGAGCAAAAATAGTCAGCAAGAAGCAACTTTGCTGGCTACAACTATCTACAAAGCTGAGTTCACTATTTTCCCCTAAATGTTTACTGCCCTTCAAATATAAGAACTGGAATCACTTAACACACTACTTGAATGTATCCCAATTTTCTAAACTGTCATCTAGTGTCACAAGATACATACCACAGCACTCTGACAGTATAAACACAAGCCTCCATAACAAATGACTACATCCTTTAAAAGTGATTTAAAATTTTCAGGCCCAATACCTTGATGACAAGTGCCTCAGARCATCCGTGGGCAAAAGTCCTTGCTCTGTAACAACTGTTGTAACACACTGATGGACAAGCAAGATTTCTGATGCRGTTGCCTGTCAAACACAGCAATTAATGGCTCCTCCTGAGCTTACAGAACAAGACCTAAGCCCAAGTTCTTTAACTGATTCTATCTTGCCTCCAAACCAGCCCTTTGTAAACACAACCTGAAAACAATTGCCTGTTTGCTAACTGCAATGAGGATCACCAGCTCTCCACAATTTCATATCTTCAGATGGGACAGCAGCGTCAACAAGCAAGGAGAGAAATCAAGGGCAGAACTTTCTCACAAAACTTTAGTTTCTTCAAAAGTCAAATCCGCTGACCTGCTATTTCATGACGCATGGAATCTGTAGCATTTCTGAATTTCATAATCCTGCATTTCTATCCCATTTTTTAGCCTGCATTCAGAACCAGATATCCTCAGTACTTCTTTGTTGATAAATGTCAAGTTCTCCACGATGACCCACAGATACCAAATGCAAACTGCAGTGCTCAAATGAGTCACACTGTTCCAGATCACAACATGGTATTTAGGAAGTCCTCGGAAAGGAAGGAAAGTCCAGATAATGAGCCTTTACTACTGAGTCCACTCAGCAATCAAGACGTGGTAGCAAACACAGGCAAGCCGTCCAGCTGTATAAATGARTTAACAAAAATGTGTTTCAAGGGTGTTTTAAGATGAAAATAGCAGGACTACCAGATCTTCAACTGAGCAAAACCTTCAAAGAACAGGTGCTTAGATAATAAATTAGAGAGAAGTCTCATGTCAACGATTCAAAAGTACAGAGGAAAGCCCATTACTATTCTCTATTTGAACCCAAATAACTAGAACGCAGCACTGCACCTCCACTTCCACAGCCACTGCAGAGCACATTCCAAATCCCATTAAAACTTCCCAGTGCCTCGCTCTCAAAAAAGCCTGTAAGCACCTCAAGACCTGCACTTTTACTACTGGGCTGCAAGACCTGCATGCCCAGAAGCACACAAGTCAACAGAAACACAGGAAGGTAAAAATAAATAAATAAATAAATAAATAAATAAATAAATAAATAAAGAAGGAAGGAAGCTTTGAAAAAAGTGCGAGTTAAGAAGTAACCGGTGAGTCCGGGGAGGGGAGTCCTTGTTTCAGCCTTCTCCAGAGCAAAGAATTTAAAAAAACAGAATTAAACATACAAATATATATTTAACTTGAGCAATTTAATCCAGGCCCCGGCAGCCGCGGAGGCTGGTGCCGCAAGGAGAAGCTCTCGCAGCGCCGGCGGAAGAGGCGARGGCCGGGCCGGGGCTCTAACGAGCGCGGGGCGAGCGCCGCCCGCCGGGACGGGGACCGGCCGCGCGCAACCGAACCGCTCCGCGCTGCGCCCCGGGCGGCCGGGCGCCCTCCCTCGCGCCAGGCACCCACCGGCCGCGCCGCCGGGCCAGGCCGCGCACCGAGCCCGCTCCCCGCAGCTCCCGGCTCCGCACCACCAAGATGGCGTCGCCCTCCTCCTTCCCTCCTTCTTCCCCAGCAGCAGCCGCGAGGCCGAGCTGCGCATGCGCAGTCCGCGCCCCTCCGACCCCGCGCGAATCCTTCCGGGCCCGCGCAGCGGCGCGGCGCGCTCGTGCGCATGCTCGGAGCGCATGGCATCTCCGGCGGAGCCCCGGGCTTTGCGCTGCGCATGCGCATTCCCATACCCCCTCCCCGGCGTTGCGCAATGGGGAGGTGAGCTCTGCGCATGCGCATTCATATACACCCCCCCCCCCGGCTGGCATTGCGCAGTGGGGGCGGGTGGAGGGCCCTGCGCATGCGCATTCGCATACCCCGCTGGCGTTGCGCGGTGAGGGGTGGCGGGCTCTGCGCATGCGCATTCGCATACCCCGCTGGCGTTGCGCGGTGAGGGGTGGCGGGCTCTGCGCATGCGTCGCGGCAGTGGCGTCACGCGCCATCAGGGCCGCTGGGTCCTAGGATGTCCGAGGGGCTAAAGGCGGGTTTTGTCCCCGCTGCTTCCCTCYCAGGAGCTTTCCAAAGTGTAGGGGCAACCTGGAAACAGTTTCCAACCTAAACGTTCTCGCAGTTGGCTCTAGGGCTGTATTGGGAGAAAATAGAGGAGGTGAGGGGTGAGGCTGCCCATGGGTAAAGGGYGAGAGGTGGGCTCCGCTGGGCACGTTACGTGGTTACGCGGCCTCTAGTGTTTACTTCGGCCTCCTTCTTTTGAGTTTGACACATACGCCCTGCTGTTTCTAGACAGGAATTCTATTATCAGGTCCTTTCAAATACACAAAACTTAGGTATTGCTTGATGGTGCCAGTAGCCCTGCTCTATCTTCAGGGATGGGGGGCGGAGGGAAGGAGAATCCGGGATGCTTTTGCTGAGCATAGGAGGCAGAATTAGAAAGCTTTTTCCTGAGTGAGTCTTCTGCAGAGTGACATCCAGTGCACATCTCTGTGTCTTTTAGGAAATGACAAGAGACTGAGCCTAAGTTGTGGAGCCGCCTCTCCTGGCATCCTGAAGCTGCCAGTTGTTGCAGTGAAATAAATAAATAATAAAGTTGAGAACATTGATAAATAATCTTAGTGCAGGTATATACAAGTGGTATGGGTCCTAACCGCTCCACTGCTGTCTTGTCCCTGACTGGGAGCCATCCCATTCCCTGTCTCCTTGGGGAAGAAAACGCSCCTCTTCCCCCTTCCGCCCCCTCCCGTGGCCGCGCCCGCTTCGCCTTCTCGGCGGGTCCCTCGGCGCGCTCCGTCCGCGGGGCGCGGTAGCCGTGGCGACGGCAGCCAT